CACCTGCCCGCAGCGCCCGCGGAGCGGCCCGAGCGTGACCACCTCCAGAGCGGCGGCCGAGGCGGCTGAGGCGGCGGGGCGCGGGCGAGTCAGGCGGGACGAGGCGCCGAGATCTGAGATTCCTTGAGGTAGCATTGAAGAGCACTAGGACCTGAAGATGAGTGAACTTGACCAGTTACGGCAGGAGGCCGAGCAGCTTAAAAACCAAATTAGGGATGCTAGAAAAGCATGTGCAGATGCAACGCTCTCTCAGATCACAAACAACATCGACCCAGTGGGAAGAATCCAGATGCGCACCAGGAGAACGCTGAGGGGGCACTTGGCCAAAATTTATGCCATGCATTGGGGCACGGATTCCAGGCTTCTAGTCAGTGCCTCACAGGATGGCAAACTGATCATCTGGGATAGCTACACAACAAACAAGGTCCATGCCATCCCTCTGCGTTCCTCATGGGTCATGACCTGTGCATATGCCCCTTCTGGGAACTACGTGGCCTGCGGTGGCCTGGATAACATTTGCTCCATTTACAATCTGAAAACTCGTGAAGGGAATGTACGTGTGAGCCGCGAACTGGCCGGACATACAGGTTACCTGTCCTGCTGCCGCTTCCTGGATGACAATCAGATCGTCACCAGCTCTGGGGACACCACCTGTGCTCTGTGGGACGTCGAGACCGGCCTGCAGACGACCACATTCACTGGACACACTGGGGATGTTATGAGCCTCTCTCTCGCTCCCGACACCAGACTGTTTGTTTCTGGTGCTTGTGATGCTTCAGCCAAACTCTGGGATGTGCGAGAAGGAATGTGCCGGCAAACTTTCACCGGCCACCAGTCTGACATCAATGCCATCTGCTTCTTTCCAAACGGCAACGCATTTGCCACTGGCTCGGATGATGCCACCTGCAGGCTGTTCGACCTTCGTGCGGACCAGGAGCTCATGACTTACTCCCATGACAACATCATCTGCGGGATCACCTCGGTGTCTTTCTCCAAGAGTGGGCGCCTCCTCCTTGCAGGGTACGATGACTTCAACTGCAACGTGTGGGATGCACTCAAGGCCGACAGGGCAGGTGTCTTGGCTGGGCATGACAACCGCGTTAGCTGCCTGGGGGTGACTGACGATGGGATGGCCGTGGCGACAGGGTCCTGGGATAGCTTCCTCAAGATCTGGAACTAACGCCTACAGCAGCTGGTCGTCGTGGCGACTGGAAGACCATTCCAACCTTGAAGCGTTACAGTGATAGCATTTCCAATCCACCCCTACTAACGTGGACGCCCTGCACCCCCTCAGAACTTCAAAAGGGCAAGACCTTTTCCTTCACTTATTGCTGAAACCAAGAGCACAATTCCCATGAAGAGAAGAATCTCTGTGCTGTAAACTCAAACAAATTGTGCATTCCTCCCGGGACCATTGTCTTTGTTTTCTTTTTTGTCTTGAATGAATTTAAAAGGAAATACTATAATAAACGTGCTAACCAGAAAAAAAAAAAAAAAAAATTGCCATTAATAAGTCCTGGTGCCACATGCAAAATGAATCATTACATTTTTTTAAATTCCTGCACTTACCAGTTATTAATTCCTATAGGGAAAATTATCTTTAGCTAAACTAGCTCTATTAGGCAACCGAATATTATTCTGTAATTGTTAACGAGTATAAATAACAACCACACCAGCTGTTTCATCAGTTTGAGTCGGTGCATGCTCGTACAAGTACGGTGAGTTGCTGGGGATCAAGGGTTGGTGTATAACTCTCCCATTCAAAGAGAATACCTGGAAAATTAAAGCAATAAATAGGGGAAAGAAATCAAAAACAATGAATAATCTCTTACAGCTCCTAAAATGTCCTGGTTTTATGTTTATTACCTGAGGCAGGGTCAGGTACTTATATGAAGAAGCTCCTTACATTCGAGGAAACAGGAGCATGAATGATAAGTACTGCATGGGACCGTGTAGGAGTGAAATGAGATAACACATGCAAGGCACATAGAAAATATCTGGCACAGGAGAAGCACTGAATAAATGATAATTATGATAATAATTTTCATTATTTTTATTATTACTTCTAATAATTCACTGCAGTTACCTTCAGTTGAATAATCAGAAAGAAGGTAAAAAGAGGGTAGCTCAATCTGCTGGAGATTTATAACTTACCATTGCTTTTATGCAGTCAGCTTTTTTCTTTTTTCTTTTTTTTTTAAATTAAATCTATGTCCCACTGAACTTGCAAACACAATGATTTATACACGCAAACCTCTAAACTTCATAGCGATATTGATCTTGGGAAGTCAATCAAGGGAAATGCTGAACAAGAAGGAACAATTTAGAAATCCTGAAGTAACAATGGGATAACCAGAATTTTTGTTGACTGCAACACCCTACCTTTTTATGGGGTCATTCAGGTTTCCAAGCACATGTTCAAACATACATTATCAAATTTCATCCCACTGAAGCCCTGTGAGGCCACCCGCATTCAGAGGAATGAAGGAAGGCTCATGGCAGATGTCTGGATTCACTGGTCTAGCAGATACCCAGGAGGAGAACCATGGTTAGAACTCATATGTTCTCACTCTGGGACTCCCCATTAAAATGTTGCCTTTTATGAAGTGTTGACCACCATGACAGCCTATCCAATAAAAATTAAACTTCTGAGCACTTGCCAATAGGACAGAAAGATGTATTGTTTTCAGCAGGCTTTCTAACTGGAAACACAATGCCATGAGGGACACGGATATCACTTTACTGAGACGCTAGGCATTGCTAACTCTGTTTCTTCGAGGAAACTACCCAAGAGGCTTCAATTCTTTAGCCTCTTTGAGCATGGGAGTTACAAAGAAATAGTGAGAGAACAAAGAAGTTTGTAGAAAGATTTGAAGGTAAAAATTTAGTAATATGGGAAATTATTTTTAAAGAAGTTGTTCTGGGATGCCTGGGTGGCTCAGTTGGTTAAGCATCTACCTTTGGCTCAGGTCATGATCCCAGAGTCCTGGGATCAAGTCCGGCATTGGGATCCTTGTTCAGCAGGGAGCCTGCTTCTCCCCCTGTCTGCCGCTCCCCCTGCCTGTTCTCTCTCTCTCACAAATAAATAAATATTTTTTAAAAAAATAAAGAAGGTGTTCTACTTTTTCTTTTTCTCTCTTCTAAGGTAAACCCTTTTACTCCCCCCCCTTTTTTTTGTAATATTCATGAAATAAGGAAACTGAAAAGAAAAGGGAAAAGACTTACATAAAAGGGAAGAAATAAAGTACAGTATCTCCACGTACCTCGGCCCATCTTCTTCTTTAATCAAACATAAGTGCAAGAGGTAGTCTGTCTCCACAATGGTAACCCAACTGGTTACATTACTCCATAACACAAACAAACATCTTCTTGTTATATCTAATCTAACTAAGAGTGGAATTACTTGTGCTCCCATATCTTTCTCTCTGGGTCATCATACACAGAATAAGCTATCACTACTTTCAAATGTTGAGTTACTTTTTTCACTATATTACTCTTTCTGGGTTTGACTTTATCTCTGCTCGTCTACACCATTTCTCTCTTCCTGTTTTAAATGCCCTCCCCAAGATACAACCCTAGTTATAATAGTAAATAAAATTTCCTCTACTTGACAAATTTCACAAAGACCAAATAGGCAAAATATATTTGTTTTATATATGAATATGTCAATAATGGATGTCTGTCTGTGATGCATCCTGAAAAAAAAATCACACACATTATTTAAAGGGAACCATTAGGTATTATCTCTTGGGCATTAAAGTCACCCAACTGAGAAATTGCTTCTCTTGCTTCTCTGCTATTGTAGTTTCTTCAACCTATTAATTCAGTTCATTACAAGAAAATACCCTACTTATAAAACACACAGCATCTGAACATAGTTTTTCTTTTGAGTCTTGAGAGAGACAAAGTAATCAAACTGCTTTGAATCTTGAAGAAGAAGAAGAAGAAGAAGAAGAAGAAGAAGAAGAAGGAAAAGAAGAAGAAGGAAAAGAAAAAGGAAGGAAACCATGTCAGTGAACTCAGTGAAAGTAATTATTCACAAATTGTAACTCTGCAATAGGACGTAAAGATGAGACTTGAAATGGTCTTGATAAGCACTCCATGGGCACATCTTGGAGAACTTCTCAGGCTTTGCTGGTTACATGGCTATTTGAAATAAATCTGCCCTTAACATGGACCCAGAAATATTTTTTTTTAATAATGTTTTTGGTAACATCAACTCATTCTTATTTTTTTAATCCTTATTTTTCAAACAAAATTTCTATTCTAATATCTCCCTAAGCAATGTGAACAGAGATAACACTGGAAATCTTTTCCAAAGAAATGAGATTTCCTCTTATTGTGAAGATGAAAACACTCCCTCTTAGTCATGGTGAAGGCGGGGAGGAGATCAGTCACTTGATTGTGTCTTGGTTTTAGGTGTGCCTTCTTAATTGGATGACATTCTCAAACACTCAGGATGCAAGACAAGGACTTTGCCTAAGTAGCTCCTGAACCCTAAAATAATACAGATTTCAGAGATTACATTTGGTCCTACTCAGTGAAAAGCTGTATGTCAAAGAGGAAATAATCTTTAAAATAGCTCCTGATTGCTCATAAGAAAAATCAGCTCATAAAACTAGTCCCAAAGAAGCAAACTGAATTTTATTTTTATTTTTTTAAATATTTTATTTATTTATTTGACAGAGAGAGATACAGCAAGAGAGGGAACACAAGCAGGGGGAGTGGGAGAGGGAGAAGCAGGCTTCCCGCTGAGCAGGGAGCCCAATGTGGGACTCGATCCCAGGATCCTGGGATCATGACCTGAGCCGAAAGCAGATGCTTAACGATGGAGCCACCCAGGTGCCCCAGCAAACTGAATTTTAGTATTCTCAGCTAGGTGACATTGTCATTTGGTTTTAAGGTAAGATAGAAGCTATCTTCACAGTAAAAAGGAATTCATTTCTATAATACAAATAAATGCTAAAGGGGCACTGGAGAAATATGTCGATTGTAAAGAATAAGTGATATAAATGTCATTTCCTGACTATGATACTCCAATTGTTTGAGGCTGTCTCAAGGCCTAACATATTACTGATCTTGAAAAATGTTTCATGTGCACTTGAGAAGAATGTGTATTCTGCTGTTATTGAGTGTGTCTATATATAGATGTATATGAACTCTGAGCACTTCTCTGTATGTAGGTGATATTTTAATAATATTTTTCTCAGAAAGAAGGAAAAAATAATATTGGCTTTCCAACATTTAGAAAGATCTCTAATCTCATTAATAATCAAAGTGAAAATTCAAACAACTGGATTCTTGTTCTTGCCTTTACAATTAGCAAGGATTTTTATTCACATTTTTAATGAAATACCCAATACTGTTAAGCATGCAGCAAAACAGTCATACTTCCACACTGCTGGTAGGAGTAGTTTAGTATGACTCTTAAAAACAATTTGGCATCCAATCGTTTTACTTTTGGTATAAAAATATATTAAAGTATTATTAATAGAAGCAAAAATTAGAAATAATCAAAATGTAAGTGTTTATAAGGATGTCTATGAAGAGTTCATAAAAACATGGAAAAAAGCAGTAGACATTAACTATTATTTAAAAAGAAAACAAGACTGTTATTAGAATACACACACACACACACACACACACACACACTGCATCATTATGAAACAGAGGTTGCTCCCAGAATGTAAGGATACCTCAACATTAGAAATGCCCTCTAATTCACCATATTGGAGAAAAACCATATGACTCCGACAGAACACTGAAAAATGTTAATTATTTCATTCCAGTTAACTTGCCTTGTGACTTGACTTACCTACAGAAAATGGATTGTCTAATCCTTTCCACTCTCTTTGGGGCCTACACTACATGCTTAGCAAGGCAATTGAGGAGGTGAAATAGGGTCATGGTCCAACCTCTGCTTCTGTTCACTTGAACTCATTCTTTCTTGCATAAAGACTTAGCAAATAACAAATTCCTACAATAAGCTTGGACACTGTGGCTCATAAAAAGCATTTGATAAATCTCGATAGGCATAAATAAGTCTTAAAAGTCCTTTAACTAATAGGAATAATTAGGAATAGAAAAGAATTTTCTTATATTGATGCTTCTCAACTTATGGTAGACGCTATAAATTTATCCACTTCGCACCCATTCAAATGCACTCTGGTAGAATTCTTGATCTACTGAGGTTAGAAAGCTAAAAACTGTATCTTCTGTACTTTTATTACAGCTAGAGTTCTGTGTGGGACCTGGCTTCTGCCAAACAGACGTAATTAGGTGAGACCTGGAAGTAACAGGGCAGGGAGATAGGCTTGTAGTGGTGGACGTCTGGTGTTTCTGGGGAAACTGAGGCACATGTCAGGGCATTTGTTCACAAAAGCCCTGGGTGATGAGTGGCAGACAGCAATCCCGGCACTATTCCACCAGAACGGAGCTGTGTGTGGTTACACATTTCTCACTGTGGATCCAGTCCTGATTTTACGGTTGTC